CTGATTTACGATTTTATTCTTGCACATAATCCTGACACCAAACGGAAAACTTTATATCAGCGCATCAGTAGAGCCAGAAAGGTTTATGAGTTTACCGAAAAAATAGGAATTGATAAAATCAAGTATATCAAAACATATAGTGCGAATTCTATTGCAGAACTATCTGATAGTCAGATTCAAACTATTGTTGATTATTTCTCCAATAATCCCAACACTGAATTACCAGATGATCAAGAAGGCTCTATTATCGATTCTGAAGAGGAGATTTCGGGTGACCAGACTGATGCATCGGAGGTGGTTTCAGCTGAGGTATGCATTCCAACATCACCTATTCCATTAGCCCATGTCTCTGCGAAGCGCCTTAACGGCAATTCTTCTGATGATTCCAAAGAAGCCGGCCCAAGCAATTCGCTTGAAGCTGAAGACGATTACTACAAAATACTCTTGGAAGATTGCGCGAAGGATTGTGTGTATTTTGATAAGGAAGTTGATTCCACACCCCAGTTGATGAAAGAAACGAATGAAGAGATGCCAGACGATTCGGATGATGATGGATACGGTGGATATAATGAATATGGTGAATGTGATAGAGGATATTACTGTCGTGACGGAAGATACGAAAGGAAAACCTCCCCAATGATGAGTACTATTATCTCTCCGGTAACCGCCTAGGAGACCTTTCAAATAATTAGAATATATTTGAAAGTAGAATTATTGGGCGAATTGCATACTCGCATAGACTGAATTATCGTATAGGTTATTTCTTTTTTTTTCGAATCACGTGGGTGGCTTATGCAAAAGAGACTGCGGTATTCAAATCCCGATCACCTGAAATGCGTTTTTTCCGTGCAAAAATATATAGACGTCATCTATACTGCAGAAGCTACGGATCTGGCCAAGAGTAATAAGTATTTTCTCCTGATTTACACAGCTTTGCGGATCGTAAGATAGGGCATCGCTAAAATGAAACAAAAATGGAAATCGGACGATTAGAATTTATGATTTACAGATCTTTAGATGAAACGGTAAATTTTTATCACCCTATTGATACTAGCCCATTCAAATTACATGTACAGACAATCACATATTATCACCATCTTTGGAATAATGTTTTATTTCTGTTGATCAACTTGTACAAAACACGAATAGGAATTAGCAGTATGTGAATTTTTATTTTGAAAATAAACTATAGTAAAAAATTTGCAAAAACTATATAAAAAACTATATAAAAATCAAAGTATTAAAATAAAAGCTTTGTCTTTTTGAGAACGTCAATTCAAGATTCCTCCAGTTCTTTTTCCTCCGGTTCTTTCTTTAAAGTGAATATCACATTAAATTTTTCTTTGACGTTATCCAAAATCAAATGAATAGGAATTACATAAGAGACCCTACTAATTCCTGCAATAACAATCCCCCATAATTTACCATCATTATCGAATACTGGTGCACCGGAGTCCCCACGTTCAGCTGTAAATAGGTTAAAATATGAATAATTTCAAAGGAAAACAAAATAGAATGCTAATATGAAATCCGTCAACTTACAAAATGTTTGTCGATTAATACCAAGAACTTGCAATGCAAACCTTCGACTTCTTTCTTTAGGTTTTTTCTTACCTTTCCTTTTGACAATAGGAGGATAAAAAGGCATCCACATATCTTGTATTAACCCTTCTCTGAGGAAAGTGGTTCTTCCAACCTTCTTAACATATACAAATTTATCATTATTATTTACAGAGGTCTTTATACTACGAATTTGAATATGTTGTTCAAATGGTATGTTTGGTAATTTTGGAATTTCTCGATCCTTCACCGTTTCACAGAAAGCGTAGTCAAGATAATGACAAGCCGAATCAGCTCCAATAAAATTGTACCTTGTGACCTTAGCACATGCGCTTGCGTTAACCTTATAATTAAAACTGTTAACCAAAGATAATAGTAAAAAAAATCACAACATATCAAACCTCATCGAGTGTTCCCGGTTGAACCACTTTTCATCCTCCTTTCCCACGCCATGCTTTGCAGTTAATATAAATGTTTTATTGGATACTGCAGTATTTTGAAATAAAGGACCAAGTGTAATTGCATTTAATGGTTCATCTTGTTCACCGATACTTATGCCAGGTATAAGGTCTTTGTGATATGAACGATGGTATAATTCAAGAGCTTCATAAGAAATCAACACAGGAAAGCTCTCAAATTCAGCTGGTAAGTGGACAGGTGTCCCTTCTGATTGATCCACGAAGGCAACAAGAACTTCCTTATCATCTACTAATCCTTCAATTACACAAGAAAATGGAATTTTCTTATCATATCTATTCAGAAACTCATTTTTAGCCTTATTAAGCAATTTAAATCGATTAGAATCTCTGACTGGGAGAATAACACGTTCACCAAGCTTCTCCGGATCCATATTTATCTTTTTTTTGTTTTCCGCTTCCTCTTTTTCTTCTTTTTCTATGTCTATCATAATATGTTAGAAGATAATTCTGATTCGTTAATATTTCAAATATTATAACGTACTAACCTGTCGGATTTATTTTGTTTTTAACATATTGTTTTCTTAATTCATTAATGCTTCCTTTATTCACATCCTTATCTATGATGAAAAACCAATCATAGGCACTTCCAGTAGCCCGTTTGATGTTTTTAAAACGATCATTCGATTTGAGAATATACAGTTCGAGCTCAGTTAAACTATCAATTGACATTAACTTTTCCTTATTGTTGGCAAAAGTAGAAATGACCGAGAGTTTCCTAATATTGTAAATATCCTTAATCTGATCCAAAAAAATATGTTCAGCCAAATCTAGAAAGAACTTGTTATAACGTTTTATAATAAGAGTGGTAAATAATACAAACCTCGCATTCGTGTGTAAATTCTGCATCTTTGTAGGTTCTATTGTAAAACAATATATTTCCTTGTTTGATATATTGTTCGTTATAAAGCTGTTGTAGAGATATGTTTGTGTAATCTACAGCTACAGAAATAATATTGAGCTTTATAATATATCTCGCTTGAATGATTGAAAAAAAGCGGTCAGCTAGACCTACCTTGACTCAATATCGTTAGACTATCCAGCATTCGTAAAACGGTTAAATATGGAACGCAGACAGCGACATGAATAAACTCTTTAGGAGGTTGCTCCGTCCAGTAATCACCAATAATTCCTTCGAGCTTTTTTAAATTCTTGCTATCTGAGGTAAAGCTCGAAAAATCTTTTTCATCACTATAGTCAACTCGTACCTGCCAAAGCATTAACTGATCGGCCTCAATATCGTTGAAAATATCCTCCCCTGCCACTTTAATTTTCTCTTTAATATCCTTTTTAAATTTTTCGACAGAATTTTCTGTGTTGGTGATAATAGTAAATTCATAATTTTCTTCACCTCCTTGAACGTGAAGACAGTTAAGAGAAATGTCAACCATAGCAATTGATTTTTGTGCCTAGACACGAACGAAAAAAAGGTAACGAATTTGAAAAGGGAGTTATTACTAATAAACGATACGACGGTGATACAGAAAATGATTGGACTGATTCAGATAGCCCAAAATTTTATTGGTCGATGAACATATTTCATATTTAATCAACTGTAATAGCCCTGTTCATTTCTAGATTGGATCGGATTGATTGAAAATTAAGGTCTTGTATGATTGGTTGCTAATGCGATCA